GATTATTACGAGTATTATTTGTAGTTATTATTTCTTAAATTTTGTTTTTTAATCTCTATGTTTTCATCATTACTTACAAAACAAAGAGTGAAAAATAGTTGCTTAACGAAATAGAAAATGCTTTTAAGATAAGATAAAAGGGAAATTCACGGGTTTACCATTATGGTAAAGCTTTTTATCTTAAACGCACATATTTACTATGAAACTTTTATTAAGCTTACTAATAATCAAAAATTTTTTAATATAAAAATTATAAGTCATAAATGTCTTACACTTTTAAAATTGAAAATATTAAACCGAAGTTTTGTATAAAGGCTCTTTGAAAACACTTCTATAGTAAACAATTGCTATTTTTTATTTTCTCCCTTCTTTTTAGTATTATTAATTGTCACTTTGGCTGCTGTTTATTTTAATATATACATTAAATATATATAATTAAAAATCTTGAATGAAATAAAAGTTTATTTGATAACTGTATAATTAATTGTATGACTTACAATATATCTCTAGGGGACGATATACTAGAAAAGTGAGCATTTTTTCAGTGTTTTTTATATTATCAAGAGAAGGAGAATTTGGGGACAAATCCTGGGTACATTCTACTGCACACTGAATGTATCAGAAAACACGAATAAAAGAATTATATATTGCAGTTACAATATAACATAACATTTATTACTTACAATGATTTGTTTTATATTAATTATGCCTGCATTAAATTTATTACTTCTTGTCAATTTCTCTAAAGTCAATTTTAAACTGGAGTGATGTAAAAATAAAAACATTGTTTAAAAATCCAAGAATAGCCTAGAACCAGCGAATACTATACACATAGTAAAAAGTAAAACAAGTGAAAAATGTTGACTGTAAAACGTAAATTTTTTTTATACAATTACAATAAATCTTTGTTGTAAATATATAGTAATCCACGATGTGTTTAGACGAGACACTCTCCACCTTTCCACACCATTTCAATAAATTAATGATTCGAGTACCGAGCTATCGGTTCACACCATTACTATATTATTCGGTTAACGAGCTTCTTACACGAGATCGAGAATATCCGATTATTTTCATAACAGAAGAAATAATGGTTTTCAGTTATATTTAATTTATCACAAACGAACGTACAAAAAAATAAAAACAAGAAAAATTTCTAAAATAATAACCGACAGTTCTTAATATAGAGCATTTAATATATGATCAAATCAGATTGTAATTTCTGAAAGTTCTAATTTCTCTTAATTTGTAAGAGTCCACTGTATTAAAATTATTCATGATAGTGACAGGAATATCATAATTTAAACTTTAAAGTGATTTTTAATTTAATGGGAACGAAACTAAACTTAAAATCTTATTTAATTTAACCAAATTATAAAATATGGAAAATTTCTTGTAATTATTAGTACATTTTTTAATATGTTTTGACTTAAATGTCGGGCTTAATTTGGTGACGATGGTATTAATTTGCTATATGGTATTAATAACAAAGTTATATATCACACATAATGTAATATTTGTTTGTACATGACACTGTTTATAAATACTTGAGTATTTCAAATTATACTTAAGCTTTATCAAAAGAAGAAACAAATTCGTTTTTAAGTTATTTTTTGTTTTTTTTTTTTTCAGTGATTTTCTGATTTCTAAAGATTCTCTCTTATAACTTTTTTGAAAAAAGGTCATGCCATTGAAATTATTTATTAGATGGTACACTTCAGCTTAAATATTAAATATTAGTTAAATATTAGTTATCAAATGCAATACATAACTACCCACCCTTGGTCCAAGTTCTTACGAAGCTACAAAAGTTTCATATCTGCGTTAGCTCGTTTATACACAGAAACAGTTGTCTAGCTTCCTGAACACGAGAAATTTCATGGTAATATAGTATCTAGGAAACTTGCGAAAAAGGATCTCTCAACTATCTCTGTAGGTCACAAGACTTTTTGTTATTTTCGCCTTTCCGGTTTCTTTGATATATACACTCCAAAGAAATTACAGCAATTATTACTGAATTTTTCTATTGGCCTCGTTTGTAACATTTGTGAAATTTGTCATGAACTATCTAAATTTTAATGAGATAAGTTGTATAAAATCACAAACTCTATGTATACAAATAAATATGTACAATGCACAACAACATCGAAAATACTAAAAACCAAATTATAGAGATCCTAAGTAAAATTTTATAACGTTCCCGTTAAAGTTAATAATTCTTCATTTATATTTAACGAGAGCGCCACATTTAACATATTACATTTTTTATAAGGTAACTTTTGTATATATATATATACTAGCTGACCCGGCGAACGTTGTTTCGAATGAGCGCCTGTTGAATTTTTGAATTCGCTGGATTTACCAGGAATACCACCATATAACTTAAGATTAAAAATTGGCTCACCTATAATTATGCTGCGGAATTTAAATGCACTTAAGCAATGTGGATTTTATGCAATGGTAGTTTTACGATTCATTTTAGAGATTTTAAACTTTTTAAACAAATCAAAGTAAGCATGAATAAATTTTAAATTTCTAATAAAATGTATATGGATACCAAAAAATAAAAAATTAATTAAAAAGACATTATCCAGTGGGCCAAATTATAAATCTAAACCTTCCTTGAATCCACTTGAACACACACAAAAAATTTCATCAAAATCGGTTCAGCCGTTTAGGAGGAGTTCACTGTCAACACACGTACAGAAGAATTATATATATAAGATATATATTATTATATTATTTTATTATGTATATATTTTTTAATATGGGGGAATACTAAGTAATATAATAATATTTTAATATAATTTTATTGATTTTCGAAATGTAACGATTTTTTTTCCGTGTACTTAAAAACAATGAGTGTAAATTATTTGTGAAGTCATAAGCCTATGTGAAAAGCTTATGGTAATTCAAAAAGTTTATTTGAGTTAATAACAAAATATTGTCTTTACTTGAATAAAATTGAACTTAGTTTTCATTGGACCGAATGTAGTATTAACTTATGAAACTTTCTCGGAGGTTACCACAGCAGATCTTATATATTATTCGACGATTATTTTTTCAAGAATTTACAGTCCAATTGACAATGTTTCTTATATTCTAACTAAATGGGATTACAGATATCGGGCGAGCATTGTATTTTATACCATCCCTTACATGCGACTTAATATTTGCACTACTGCTGCTTAATGGGTTATGCGATTGGTAGTTTGCTAAATGTTAAAACAAAGAATATATAGAAAATATTTACTTGTAATATAGAATACAGGAAATTACATACAATTTTATCTCTATTGGACCCCAAACTGATAACAGGGTTCTGAAAGTTCACTGTACAATAGATAACTACATAAAAAAATGAACCATATCTTTCACTAACTCAACATACATATGTCAAAATGACTAGAAAATAACATTTATTATATTTTTTATAATAATTATAATTAATTATTATAAATGATTTTTGATCCTATTCAGATAAATAGAGGTAAACGCGGTATAAAATGCTTAAAAAACCACTTATTGTTTTTTTCACCTTCTAACTACTGAATGACCGATTCTAGATATTGTTTGTAAATAACCAAATTAAAATAATTAAAAATAACTACAGTGACTAAGCGCTTGATAAATTTTGGAACCAACTTCATCAATCCTGAATTTAAACTTTTTTACAAATATATACATTTTGTTTTAATAATTTTCTCATTTTAAATAAAGGAGTAACTATTTTTAGGCTGCTTCTCTCTAATCGCCGTATTTGAAAACTGCTTGTAGGGCGCATAAGTATGCGATTTAAAAAGCATTTAAAATCATTTTGGGAAGATGCTTTCATTTACGAGTATTGGAGACGATGGCTGCTGTCATGGGTTTGTCGGCTTGTGATGTGTTTATTGTTAAGGCATCAGTGCATAAAGTGGAAACAACTAAATTGTGTGGTTGGGTTTGCTGGAGAAGTAAATTTTATTGAAAGGTAGCGTCATGTGATGGGCAGTTTGCGAGTATTTCAACGTAAAACAACAAAAGTATCTCAAAGTTAATAACTGCGAAGTTAATGTACGTGTAATAATAACTGCACAATATAGAAATTATTGAAGAAATAACCGGAAATGTTTCTTAGTAAAAGATCGGTTATGAAATTTTAATAGAAGGTAAATAGATGAATTGAAAGCGCAAAACAATTATGTAAGTAAATCAGTAAAGAAGCATATAAACTTGTACTTACATTTAATTAATATGTTTAGTACTCTAGAACATTTACCTTTAAAGGTAATTTTTTTAAATTATTAATTATATTAATATGCAAAAAGGCGATGAGAAGGGAATTTTAATGAATTTATTTTATGTTATAATATTGATTTATTATTAGATTACTTAATTACATTTTAAATACATTTTTTTTATTTCTACGGCACGCATGAAATCAATTTTTAAAATTATTCAAGAGTTATACTGATTTTTACTATAGAGTGACACAGTTGAATTGCAACAGATTTTAAACCGCTATATCTTGTAAATTTGTACTTACACTGCATCTACGGAGAGTTAATTTTATCGTGTACAAACGTAAGGAAGTATTTCAGTT